AAGAAGAGGGATGGCCAGGGGGGCCGCGGGCAAGGGAAGGGCCCACAGGCGGGTTCGCTCTCGGCACGCCTGGCGCGCGGATGGTGTGGGGCGAGGCCTCCCAGGCACGGAGCCACTCGGGCTCCACATCTAACCGCATCGCCAACGCAGCGGCGATGCGGCGCGACCCACCGACCCCATCTACTTCGACCCCACCTGGGCGGCCCAGAGCCTTCGGCGGGGGCGTTCTTCGAGTCGAGGGCTGAGCAAACGCAGTTTCCCTTGGGTCGTGGCAAGAGTCGCGATGAGATATTTTGTGTTGCAATTTTCGGGCTGCGGGGGCCCCAACCGAGCGTCGAAACAAGACTCAAGGTGAAAAGCTGGTCCCGGGATATGGGTTAAGACCACACAGACAGCGCGATTCACGGGCGCTCGCCTTTGGGAACATTCGGCGGCGCGTCTCGATCGGGGGGTGGGCATCCCTCCCCCAAACAGTCGGCGCCGTCGATCAAAACCACGGGGACCCCCCTCCCCCCCAGACACCCCCCCTCGGGCGCTGGCGGCCGCCAGCAGCGCCGACGGCGGGGACGCCCCCCACCCCCACTGGCGCAGGCGCCGGCGCCGGCGCTGGCGGCGGCCAGCAGAGCTGGCGCTGGCGCTGGCGACGGCGCGGACGCAGCGACGATTACCACCACTACTACCACCACCACCACCACTACCACTACCACCACCGCCTCAACCCACCACCACCACCGCCACCAATCCACCACACAACCACCAACACCACCACTACGGCCACCACCATTACCATCACAACCACCACCACCGGAACTCACCATCACCACCACCACCACCACCACCGCAAAAAACACCTCTACCACCACCACAATCTACCACACCACCACCACCGCCACAACCACCACCACTACCAGCAGCACAACTCACCACCACCACCAGAAACCATCACACCAGCACCACCACCGCCACCACCACCGCCACCACCTCCACTAACCACCGCCACCACCACAACCCACCACCACCACCACCACAAACCACCAATACACCACCACCAAACCACCACCACCACCAACACAACCAACCACCACCACCACAAGAAACTACCACCACACCGCCACCAAGCCACCACCACCACCCACCACCACAACAACCACCACCATAACAAACCACCACACAAATACCACAACAACCACCACCACCACCACACTTTACAATTAGACCATCTAAACCCAGTCAGCGGATTCCCTGCGACGCGGATTCCTGAGCAGGTTGACTGAGCATTTCGTCACCTCCTACTCCTCGCCCTGTCCCTTCTCGTCCTCCTGATGATTTCCTTCTACCCTCCTCTGTCTGGCACCCCCTCTTCCTCATTCATCGACCTCATCATCAACATCGTATGATCCTCCCTGTCTCCTCTTTCTCTCCCTCCTACTCCTCCTGGTCTGTCCATTCCTCCTCTTCCTGCCCTTCCTTCCCCTCCTCCACCGATTCTTCCTCCCCCTCCGCAGCCTGCTTCCACGGCAACTGTGGCTCAATACTCCACTATGGCCCTGTCGCCGCATGGAGACAACTCGTCCAGGAACTCATTGGTCATTGGATAACCGGCATGCTTGGAGCCATCATGGTTCGCAATGGAAGAATTTGGCTCGGATGGAAACATTGTGACTAAAAGCACTGCCTCTTGGTTCGAAGCGTAATTTCCTGGCTCACGGAAGTGAGGCTGGCGCGGCCCAAAGTAAGGCGTTCCTTTGCTAAAGAAGTGCCCTTGAAATCCAGTCCGACCCCTACGCAATGGAGCGCAACCTATGCAGCGCATAACCTAGCGCCGCCATCATACCAAAGCATGTCAACATCACAACAGCACAACACGGCCAATAACTTGACTGTGTAACATCCTGAAGCATCGCATAACGTAGCGTGGTCGAGCAATGCCACGCACGACAGAGCGTAGCATCGCGTAGCACACCGCTGCAGTATCGCCCATCCTGGCATAGCGTAGCAAACCGCATATGGGATGCCAGAACAATGGCGTACCACTGCACATACGCAATCGCAACGCAACAAGATCACAACTATTGAACACAACATGTTGTAGTAATGCATACGTGTCGCATCACTGCACGATCCAACATTACGCACTCTGAAATGACATGGTGGATTTCCTCGTGGTCCGGCATCACAGAGCATGCAAAAGCAATACGTCGCAAGCCAATAACTCAATACGAAGCCGTCCAAACCACTGCAACGGCATGTGCATTGCATTGAGGAGAAAGCTTGGCTCCACTTGCTGAATTATGTTCCTTGCCCCTTCTTACACCAGGGGGAGAAGGCTGCCAACCACGATGGGGGAGGATCGGGAGGAGGGATGAAGGAACCCGCTTAACGACTGGCTATCTGTATTTGCGTCTGAGGGGGTGCGAATGGCGAAACCAAAAGGTACCCATACCGCTACTCCCCGAACCTCTCCCGGGGTGCGTTCTGACCAGAATTTCGAGGCGAATCCAGCGGTGGCGACGAGAGGTGCGAAGAGTAGCAGGTGGAGGACAAGGGTGCTGGTAAGATTGTCTGGAGGAGGTCAACCGCGTGGATGAAACGAGAAGGAGCAGGGAGACCAGGAGCAAGAGGAGGGACAGAGGTTGGGTGGGGAAAGGACGAGAAGGAGAAGGGCGGCAGCTCACGAGGATGGGAGGAGGAGGAGCTGCCGACCCGCGTGGCAGAGCTAGGTAGGTCCTAGGTCCTAGACCCTATCCCCCTAGTTGCAACGAGAAGCAGGGACCACAACCACCGAACATCCATCGGGGGGCGGGGGGGGGCCTGAGCGCCGTTAAGTACGGGGTGACGCTCGGGCATGACACTAGCTGGAGGTCGGCCAGGAGAGGAGGAGGAGAAGGAGGAGGAGGGAGAGAGGGAGGAGGAGGGAAAGGAGGAGGAGGAAGGAGGAGGAGGAGGAGGAGGAGGAGGAGCAGGTCGAGGAGGAGAGGAGGGAGAGGAGGAGGAGGAGAGGAGCAGAATAGGAGAAGGGAGAGTAGGAGGAGGATGAGGCGGAGGAGGAAAAGGAGGAGGAGCAGGAGGAGGAGGAGGAGGAGGAGGAGGAAGAGGAGGAGGAGGAGGGGGAGGGGGTGGGGGGGGGGTGGGGAGGGGGGGAGGGAAGGAGAGGAGAGGAGGAGGAGGAGGAGGAGGAGAGATGAGGAGAGGAGAGGAGGAGGAGGAGGAGGAGGAGGAGGAGGAGGAGAGGAGGAGAAGGAGGAGGAGGAGGTGGAGAAGGAGGAGGAGGAGGAGAAGGAGGAGGAGGAGGAGGAGGAAGTGCTTCTCCCCGAGCCCCGCCTCCTCGCGCCACCGCTTCCACTCGGCGAGCTGCTGCGGCGTGACGGCGCATGTGGGCCCGCGGGCACCTTCTCCGGCGAGCAGGGCCCGGGAGCACCGCCGCAGCAGGCGCCCGTCGAACACCGCCGAGGGCGCCAGGAGCCTGCGGCCCTTCCCAGACCCCCTCGCGCTTGTGACAAAGAACACGCCTTGAGACTGTTCCCTCGTTTCGGCCTTCCCGGGCCCTTCCCAGACCTCGGGCCCGTGCAAAAACGGCTCAGGATGAAGAGCCGGTCCCAGGGAAGGGGTCCGGACTGCTGATGGGGGACGGCGTGAAAACAGTCACGGCGTTGGGGGGGGATTGGGGAGCCTGCGGCCCTCGCCCCCCAGGCCCAGCAGCTCGCCAACTTCGGCGATCGTCCACGCGATCCGCTGGTACCTCTCGCCCAGCAGGGCGAGCGGCAGCAGCGACTCGTCCTCGCCCTCGCCCAGGCCTTCTTCCTCGCGCGGCAGGCCCCCGCTGGCCTTAGGTCGGGCATGTCCTCCTAGAGGCTGGGTTTCGACGACGCATCGAAACATACACCCAATATGACCCCAAACAGCCAGGCATAAAAGAAAAGTCGTCCCCCGACTACGTTTGCCTAGTTGCTATCTTCCCCCTATAGAACGACATGCTCGGCTTGACACTGGCCTGCTGGTGCAGCAGCACGGCCATCAGCACCAGCGCGTCGAAGTCCTCCTCCCACACGCCAAGCGGCCCCGCGCTGCCGCTGCGGGCCACGGCCGCCAGCGCCAGGACGGCGGCCGTGCGTCCCGCGTCCTCGCGGGCAGCCGGGGCGGCCGCGCCCGAGTGCGCCTGGGGATCGGGCGTGCTGGGGGCGGGCGGGCCTCCCGAAGAGGCCCTGCGCACGCCCGGTACCAGGGCGCCCGGCGTTGCCCGGCGGACGGACTTGCCGTCGGAGGTCAGCGCGTAGGCGTGGGTCCTGCAGAATGCCTCGAGGCCGCCAGCCGCATGGACCGCCTCCTTGCAGCCGGGATCGCGCGGGTAGATGATGCGCTGGATCGCGGCGAAGGGCAGCGCCCCGTCTCGCTTGTCTATGTTCCAAATCAAGGTCCTGACTGCGCCGACGAGGCTGACAAACCCGCCACTGTCACATGGGTCGAACACCAAGTAATCCGCATGCGCGTCGCAGAAGCGTCGCAGGCCGCCCGCCTCCTTAATGGTTCTCTGCAAGCTCCCCGCATCTGGGAGGTGCTTCGACGCCGCGGGCACAATCGCTGCGGCTAAGCTCCAGCCCTCGTCGCAGCCGACCAACACCTCCAGGATCGCGTCGAGCGCCACGCTCGTTGCACCCTGCTGTTCAACATGTAGCTGCTTCGGCGCCTCTGCGGCAGCAACATCAGAGTTAGGGGGCTGAACGGTCACTCACTGTCCCTGGGCGCGTGGCTGAAGTGAGGTTCTGCGGTGCGGATTGTTGTTGTTGTTTTAGTTGTTGTTGAGTTCTCACTTCTAAAGAACAATTTTTGTTGATCCCCCCCACCGGGGCACACGGTGTTTTTCAATTGAAGTGCCCTTCCAAATTCTCACATCCTGCTTCTTTCGAAAAGAACATCTGGATCTAAGAATTTGATTATTGCCCCCCCATTTTGCAACAACAGCGGCTCCCGCCTGACGCTTGCTATAATGGTTTCCCACATCGCGCTCTCGCCCGGGACTTCCTCACAATGTATGCAGAAATCGCGCTCTCGCGTTGGACTTCCATGCAATTTATTCAGACGCCGCGCCCTCGACACTCAGGAATCACGCTCTCGCTATGTTTTTCCTCACGATGTGTTTGGGAATCTCGCTGTTGCTCGAAACTTCCGTGCGATTCGTGCAAGGCGCACGCTTCGGTAACCCGCCTGCTAGACCTGGCCGCCGGGCTGTCTTCCCGACACTCCTGATAGGGTCTGCTCGCCCGATCTGCCCGTCTGGTTCTTCCACGTGTTTTCTGCTCCTAGCCTTAGGTGGGGCCTGTCCCCCTACAGGGGGATTTTCGACGAAAAATGAGCAATACTCAACAATCATTCCAAAATGGTCAATACAAGAAAATAGTCCCAATACAATGTTTGACAATTTTTGACTTTTTTTTGAATATTCCCCCTGTACAGGGACAGGCCCGACTTAATCCTAGCCCCCCTCCTGCTACTGTCTCTCGTGCTCCATCCCTCTCCCTCCCCCTTTGTCCCTTCCTTCCGCCCGTCCCCTCTTCCTCTGCCTTGGGGTTATGTTGCTCCCATCGCACTTAAGGACCACATTTCACACATATTTTCGAGCACCCAGTTCAGTGTCGAAAGAGTGTCGAAACAGTGTCAGACGAGTGTCTCCCAGGGCCCGGGACCTGAAAACCCTCGAGTTCTGGTGATCACGGCTCAAGTAGGTTGGAACATCATAACCTTAGGGGCTGCACGAAATACACGTTGCAGGTAAGACAGATATGTCCCCCCGAAGGGGTACGATCGAAGACGAAGAAAGCGGGCATCCAGGGCTTGGAATGTTACCCGCGTTGAGTGGCACGCGGGCAGATAAGAGCGAACCGTCTTAAAATGATTGTTGCTGTTAGTGTTGTTATGATTGTCGTCGTTGCTGTTGTTGTGGTGCTACGTACCTGGAACAGCGAGCTGGCCGCACCTTGCGAACTGCCTCTGCCGCGCGCTCCGCTGCGGCGCGCGCGTCGCCGCCAGCGGCCAGTCGCCAGATTCTCAGCTTCTCGTCCATCGGGAGGCCCGCCACATCCAACAGGGGCAGTCTCTGACCGTCCCAGGGCTGCCTCTTGAGGCCCGAATCGGCGGGGGAAATCCTGACCATGCTTGACCCCTCCGCGCGCAGCAGCGCATAAGCCGTCTCCCACAGCGGACGCAGCAACTCCTGCAGTGCACTCGGGCTGCACCAATCGCTAACAGCTGGCAGCACGTGCAGGCCATGCAGGTGGACCGGCCAGGCCCAGAGAGGCCAGACACCCCTGCAGACCGCCCTGTGAACGAACTGAGAGACCGCCGTGCCCTCTGGCGACACGTCGTTCAGATCGAGGCCCTTCTCACAGCACTCTTCGCCGTGGCCGTAACACCACCACACGTCGGCCCACACCCGCTGCAGCTGGTGCCTGTCGCCGGGATCTTCCAGATGCACCTCCCACAACTCGGCCGTGGGGCTCGTGGAGTCCGCCACCAGGCGCGCGAGCGAGGGGAAGCCTGCAGACGCCTTAGGGTGCGGGCATCTGGTCAGCAGGTGCCGCGAGAGATCGTTGCCGGCTAGTGACTACCTACCAGACCACCCCAACCCAACCCGAAGACCCCAATTTCGGGTTGGGGGGGGTACGGGTTCCCTGTGTTTTTTCGACGTTCCCCGACCCCCCCCCCACTGGAAATCGAGGGTAAATTGAGGCCTTCGGGTTGGGTTGGGGTGGTTTGGTGGGTGGTGAGTTCCTGTGCCAGCCGCTCGGGGGTCCAGCGGCCGACGGTGCCGCTGCCGGGCAGCGTCGGTGCAGACGGTGGGCTGCGGTGCCGACGGTGCTCGACGACCGCCCGGAGCGCTGCAGACCCCAGCTGGAAGAGCTCATATCGGGTCGGGCGAAAGGGGGGGACAGCAAAGGGGGGGTTTGAGAATCAGCTCACGTAGCTGATTTTCCCGGCGCCTCCCGGCGCCGGAGGCGGCCATGTATCGAGGAATGGGCCCTCGGTGAGGCCGAAACCAGCTGCATGCAGCAAATTTCGTAACCCCCCCTTTCCCAATCCCCCCCTTTCGCCCGGCCCGAGCCTGGAGCACTGCAGACCCCAGCTGGAAGAGCTCATTGGCCACCAACCTGCAGCCGCGCATCACCGCGAAGTCGGCATCGTTCCCGAACACGCCCAGGTAGAGGCCTCGTCGGGCGCGCATCCGGTGGCCGATGAGGTCGTCGGCCTCGCCCGCAGCGGTGGCGATCTGCACCCCTGCCTCCCTGAGACCGGCGGCCACCGCCCGCGCGAAGAGGAAGGGCATCGGCAAGTCCCCGCTCTGGAACTCGTGCGATGAGAGGACGCCCTCCAGGACCTGCACCAAGCGCTTCGCAACTGCGCGCCTCTCCTTGCCGCGTTTGCAGATCTCGTCCGCAGCGCTCTCGAGCTCATCGAGCCCCTGGGATCCCGCTGGGCAGTCCGCCACGGCCTCGAGCCGCAGGCCGTACCTCGCCAGCGCGCCAGCGAACTCAGCGACCAACTCCTGGGCGTCCCCGTAGGCCGCTGCGAAGCTTAGGTCGCAGCCGCGCTTCGCCACGCCGGGCGCATAGCATTCCTTGAAGACCCAGATGCAGAACGAGGTCAGGTCGAGCACCAGCGTACGCTCCCCGCAGTGCGCCTCCGCGTCCAGCTGGAGCTCGACGAGCTCCGGATTCACCTGCTTGCGCAGGAAGGTGAGCAGGCCTGTCACGCCCATATCGCCTCGGCTGCGCCCTGGGTCTGAGGAAGCTCAGGGCCCCCTTAGCTAACCAGGACTTTGAGAGAAGTTCGCCCTGGTGAGCGTTTTTCCTTCGGCGTTTCGACATTTGGCTGAAAGGGGGGGAGGGGGGAGGGGGGGATTTGGCTTAGTGTAACTGCTTGCAGCAGTGCGGCCGATGGAGGAGGAACCCCACCTTCTCGAAACAGGTGCCAGGAACAGCCAAGATCTACTCCATGTGTGGTGGAGAGGGGGGCGTGCGAGGGCCGGCGCCCATCGGCAAAACAATGAACCAGAAAACGCCCACCAGAGAGAACGGAGCAGGGATCATACCTCGACCCGCAGCTGCAGGCTTCTCGGGTGCTCCACAGTGCTGGTGTATCAAAGTCCTCGTCTAGGGTCACCTGGGTAGCTGGCGCCGGCGAAGGGCCGGATGCGAAGTGATCGGCCGTTGAGTGCCGCCTCGAGCCAAACTGCACTTCACAGCGTCACGGTGATAGCGAAGAGTCCAATGCTTCAGACGTGGTGATCTGTCCAGGGCGTAGGCTCAGGAGCTCTCAATCCCGTTGCCAGGTTTGTTTTTCTCTGGCGATTCACGACGTTCATCAACACGATGCAACTACAGGCAAATAAAGGCAAGAACTTTTGTTCAGCGTGTCGCGGCGGCGGACCTGGCGAACCGCTATGCCCTGCAGGCGGATAGCGTGTCGCTCCGCTCCGCGGGGCGGGAGGCCTCGCAAGGCTCGGGACGCTGCTTCTCGGGAACGGGACGTGGCTGGCGTGCCGCGCCGAAGCGCGGTGGGCCCAGCGAGACGGCACGGCAAGCCAAAGTTCCTGACCGTGCACGCAGGTCACGCAACCGCTCTTGGAGGCGGCCGTGACCGACTCGCAGCGTCGGGGATCTGGTGCCGAGGGTGAGCGGCAGAACGTGGCACGCCCGTCGCAGGGTAGAAACCGCCGGCGCCGCAGTGCCGCGGGACGGCCGCTCCCCTCCCCCCCCCCGGGCCCGCTCGGCCCGAAGCAGCAGAGAACACCAGCACTTGGTTCCGGCGCGACACACGAGAAGCCCGGGCCCCTGGCTCGACGGCCCACGACCAAGACTTCGACAGGTGGCGGCCATCCGGCCGGGGTGACGAGGACCCCCCAAGAGGGCCCCAGAGAGGACCAACAGCCCAAACCTCCGACGACGCGCTCCTTTCGAGTCTCACAGGCCCCGCCGCTCTCTCGGCCACTCACACACGAGGACAGGCTCCTTTCACCCCGAGTCGTTCTTCGGCGGCCAGGGGGCCTGAACAAAACTGCATCCAGGCCGAACAAGGCACAAAAGTCTCAGCGTCGATACTTCCGAGTCTCTGGGAGGTTCGAACAAATGGCACGCGCAAACAGGGCTTATGGATCCGTGGATCTGGCGCGCTGGCGCCAGGTCGCTGGGTCGGGGAAAATGCAGCGAAGCTTGAAGCCATCGCCGCCTGATCTGGCGACGCAGCGCGCTGACTCCGCATGGAAACGGGAGCCGTCGCTCATGCGCGCGCCGTAGATCTATGCTTGCGCTTCCTCGGAGGGTCGGGACACGTCGGAACTTCCACCCTCATCCTCCCTCGTCCTCCTCGCTCATCCCAGGAGCCCCTTCGCGGGGTCTTTTGCCGTTTCCGGTCAACGATTTTGTTGCCGCTTCCATTTTCAAGAGACACTCTGTCAGAAACGGTGAACAATAGAGGTGAAACATCCACCCCCATAACAGCCACCCCGACCGACACGCGAAGTCGTTCAGCAAACGCGCCCAAAGAAGGAATCAAACAGGGCAGGGCTGTTTAGCAAACGCTCAGGGCCGCTTCGTAAACGCCGACTGTCTGGTCCGGGTGGTTTTTCCTCCCTTGGAATGTCGGGGATCTTCTGACCCGGGTCAATCCAGACCTGGTTCAGCAGGAAACCAAAAACTGCAATGCAGGAACAAAAACTGCAACGCAGGTCTTCGCACACCCGGGTCAGCCAATATGCGCGGCCGCCTCGCGGCCACGAGCGGCTCGCTAACCGGGATCAGCCAGAGAGGGTCTTCGCAGGAACCTGCAGGATCTGGTGCCCTGGCTGACCCCCGTTTGCACTGACCCCCGTCTCTTAGGCCCCGATCCCTTGAAAGGAAGGGCCCGGTCGCTTCCAGGGCCCACGAAGTCCTCCTCGTCCCTCCAAGGAGCCCTCTCGCGGAGCCCTCTCGCGGAGTCCAGCGCACCGCCCGCCAGGCCACGAGAGGGAGGGCGAGACTCCAGGACGTAGCTGCCCCGAGACGCCACACGCAACTCGTAGCGTATTGGTACGGAGCTCACTGCGTAGACTGAACCCGTACGTTTTGAGCACGGACGTTTTGAGCACGGCACGTGTTACGTTTCAAAGCGTGCGTATCAGAGCAGCTAAGCTCCAGGAGGAGCAGCAGGAGGGGGGCCAGGGGGGCGACGACGACGGTTGTACTGCACTGCGCTGCCACCTCAGTAGCTGAGACTGGATCGTTAATCGTTGTTGACTCGATCGCCGCGACGACGACGGACTGTACTGAACCGTCGCGTCGCTCCAGGGGCGGTCGCTGAATTCTTACCGCTTCGATCGTTAAGCCGAGAACAGGCGACGAACAACGACGACACCGACGATGACGCAGACGACGAAAAATACGACAACGACAACGAGGAAGCTGTCGACGAGAGACGACGTCGAAAGACAGCGAAGGACGACGGCGGCGGCCGACGACAACGACGACGACGACGAAGGATGAAGAATGACAAACACGGACGACGGCAGATAACGACGGCGACCGACGATGACGACGGACGGAGACGCCCATGACCAGCGTTAGGTCGGGCATGTCCCCCTACAGGCGTACGTTGGGCGAAAACTAAAACGTAGTAAACAATGCCCCAACAATGCTCAAAAGTAGTCAGAGAATCCTACCTCGACATTTTTCTGACTATTATTGAATATCCCTCCTAAAGAGCGAGGGCAAGCCCGACTCAAGACCAGCGACGAACGACGACAACGACCTGAGTATCGTTTAACCGATCCCCATCCCCACCAGCGTAGGCTGGGCCCCACTGGCCGATTTACTCCCCTAGATGGGGATATAGGCCGTATCCTTCGGGCTTCGAGGGGTGTATGACCAACTGGGGGTGTAATTTGCTGGGGGTGTCATGGAGATGGGGATGGGGATCGGTTAAACGATACCGACGGACGACGACGCAGATGACCAGCGACGGACGACGACGACGACCTGCGATGGACGACGGCAACCAACGATGACGACGGACGACGGAGGAGGAGGAAGATGAGGAGGAGGAGAAAGATGAGGAGGAGGAAGAGGAGGAGGAGGACGACGGACGACGACAGACGACGGAGGAGGAGGAGGAGGAGGAGGAGGAGGAGGATGAGGCGGAGGAAGATGAGGAGGAGGAAGAGGAGGAGGACGCCGATGACCAGCCACGAACGACGTCGGCGACCGACGACGCACGACGACGCCTCGCGTGGCCGCCGCAGCGCCCGCTGCCACGCAGCGCGCTCCGCCGCGGTCGAGGCCAGGTGCGCCGGCACGCACGCCAGGGGGTCCCGCGCCTCGGGCCAGAGGGGGGGTCTCGGGAGCAGCGGTGCTCGCGGCGGCGCGGGGCAGTGCTGAGGGTCCGAGGGGGCGGAGGAGGAGGAGGAGGAGGAGGAAGGAAGAGGACGAGGAAGAGAGAAAAATAGGAGGAGGAGGAGGAGGAGGAGGAGGAGGAGGAGGAGGAGGAGGAGGAGGAGGAGGAGGAAGACAAGGAGAAGGAGGAGGAGGAGGAGGAGGCGGGGACGGGAGCAGGTGCTCGCGGCGGCGCGAGGCAATGCTGAGGGTCTGGAGGTGGCTTCGAAGCTTGATTCGACTTGATGTTCCCTGGCTTGGCCTTGGCCCTGCCGTTGAAGCGACCACTATCCTCACTGGCGTGGCCTTGCGAAGGATAGGACCATGTACGTATACATATATATATGTATATATATATATATGCAAATATACATGTGTGTGTGGGCTCCTTCGGGCTAGCGGGGATGATCCCGACCGTGGAAAGATATTGTTTTTCACAAGCGGTGACACACGTATCCATGCGCTCGCGCTCTGGACACCAAGGCGGGATTCCATCGATGGGTGTCGCGAGTCGCGCGGGGCATCCTCGCAGCGCCGCCCTGTATCCACAGGGTCGCGGCCAAAGAGCGCGCACCGCACGGCCGCGAATGTTGACCGCGATGGGAACTGCCGCCTCCGCGAGTCTACATAACATAATCCAGCATTGTTTACTCCATAGTTCGCAACAAACTTGACGTATGGCTTTGCAAACATGGCTTATGATACATGTCACTCCGTATGGCTTGGAAAACGCTCAATAGCGAGATTACGGAAGAAAATGCAATAATGCTTAAATTGTAGTAGTGCGATGCGCCAAAAGGAAAACTTGTTTCCCATCAACAAAAAAACAACGGCATGCAACATGTATGGAACAGGGTCTCCCGCTTGCGCTCATGGCGTATGCTGCGCTGCGCGCAGCTCCAGCAATTACGCGCGCGCCCAGCATTTCAAAACTTATACCAGCAACGGGCGACATGCTATATGTATGGAACAGAGTCCCCCCTTTGCGCTCATGGCGTATTATGTACTGCGCGCGGCTCGAGCAATTACGCGCGGGCGCCCGGCATTGCAAAACTTTCCCAAGCCGAAGCATCCTGCCAGCAGCAAAGGTGGGACCTGCGGGACACGCGGGAGCCTCGAGACCTGGTAGGAGCTGTGGTTGTGAGGCCTGCGAAAACTGCTGGAGTTGTGCAACTGGTAGGAGCTGTCGGACACGCGGGAACCATGGGAACTACGACCTGCGGGACCTGCTGGACCTGCGATACCTGTGAGACCTCTGGGGCCTGTGGTACCTGTGGGAGTTGTGGGACCTGCGAGACCTGTTGGACCCGCGACAAGTGCGCAACCGTGGGGCCCGTGAGACCTGCGGGGCCCGAGAGACCCGTGAGACCTGCGGGCCCGTGGGACCTGCGGGACCCGTGGGACCCGTTGGATGTGGGGCCTGCAAGACCTGCGAGACCTGTGGGACCTGCGGGGTCTTGTAGGACACGTCGGACCTATGGGACCTGTCGGACCTGTGTGGCCCTCGGGGCCTGTGGGACCTGAGGGGCTCATGAGACCTGTTGGGCATGTGAGACCTGTGGGACCTGTGGGACCAGTGGGGCCCTGTGGGAACTGCTGGGCGTGCGAAAGCTGCGAAACCTGTGAGGCCTGTGGGGCCTCTAGGTCCTTGCGGCACCAGCGGGGCCAACGAGACCTTCGAGACCTCTGGGGACTGCGGGACCTGTGGGACTGGCGGGAGCAGTGGGACATGTTGGACCTGTGGAACCTGTGGTTATCATGGGACTTGTGAGACCCGTGGGGCTTGTGTGACCAATGACACGTTTGGGGCATCGGAGAAACAAGAAACCTGCGAGCACTGCGGCGCACACGAGACATGCTGGACCCGCGAGACCTGTGGGACCTGTGGGGCCTGTGGGACCTGTGGGGCCTGCGGTGTGGGGCCTTAGAAACCTGTGAGACTTGCGACAGTGATGGGACCTGGTGGACTTGTGGGCCCCGTGGGGACGCTCGGACTTGTGACCTGGTGGACTTGGAACCTGGTGGACTTGTGGACCTCGGTGCGGCGCTGGCTCCAGCACGACACGCACTCGATCGCCGCCGCTGGGACTGGAATCCGCGACCTCGGAGTCGTCGCGATCGCCGGCAAGCGGCGCAAGCACCCTGTGACCGTGGCGCGGGTGCAGCTGGTCTGCGGCCGTTTTGCGCGCATCCGCCGCCTGCCCGTGCCCTTCCGCAGGCGGTGTCTGATGGGAGCAACCGCCAGCACGGCCGCGGGCACCTATGGTTCGCCGCGTGCGAGCTCGAGCGGCTGCGGCGCGCTGCCAAGGCTGCCACCGGCCATGGGCCCAGGGCGGCCGCCGAAGTCGTGTTCGGCGTGCTCAGCCCCACGTGGCGCTTGGACCCCAAGGCGGTGGTGAGCGTCGCCCCCGTGCTGCAGGCTGCGCGGGCGCTCCGGGCCGGCCAGCTCGACCTCGCCATGTGGCGCAACACAGCTGCCGCAGTTCACGCTGGCGCTGCGCGCGCCGATGGGCAGGTCGCCGCGACCTTGCGCAGCCTTCGCGAGCTGGGCCTAGGAAGCGACATGGAGCGCTGGGTTGGCGTGCCAGCGGCGCCGCAAGGGTGGCTTCCGGCGGAGCGGTCGCGGCGGGCTACCGAGCGTGTCGTCCTGGCGGCGTGGCGCAGGGCCGAGTGTCGGATGTTGGCGGCGCGTCGGCCGTGCTTCGCCCACTTGGCTAACGGGGCGGACGTGTGAGCCACCCGCCGCCTGCTTGCTGCCGTTGCGCCCTGTGGTGGGCCCCCCGGCGGCGCCCCTAACAGCCCTGGCGGCCGCCGCGCCTGCGGCCCCCCGCTCGGCTTCAGCCGCGCCGAGGAGGGGCGCGCCGCCCGCGCAGGAGTTGGCCGAGTCCCAGCCGAACTCGGCCAACCCGCGCTCGAGCGGGGGCGCCCCGCGCCAGCTGCTGGCGACCCCGGCGGCACCCCCGACGGTCCCAGCGCTAGCGCACGGGCTGCTTCGGCGCTGCGCAGCGTCATGTGCGGCAGCATCGTGACCGAGGCCATTGCGGCGAAATGGAAGGGCGACGCCGGCACGTGCCCGTACTGCGGGCTTGCCCCGGAAGACCGCGAGCATCGTCTCTGGCAGTGCCCGGCGTGGGAGGGCCCGCGGCGCACCGCGCTTGCTGCGGCGCCACGATCAGAGACCCTGCCGAGTGACGCCGGTGCCCTGAGGCAGCTGCTGCCGGCGGGGGTCGCGCAGACGGGTGTCTTGGCGCTGCCGCCGCTCCTCGCTGCCCTCGCGGAGGCCGCGGGGCGAAGACCCGCACTTACCGCCCCAAGCGGCGCTGCTCCAGGCAGCGCCCCGACGCACAGTGTGGAACGATGGGGCATGCCTCCGCCCCGCCGACCCGCTGCTGGCGCGAGCGGCCTGGGGTCTCCGGGTCGAGGGCCTCGCAGATCTGCCCAACCTCGCCGGCCCGGTCGACGGGCTCCATTCGGCGCAGAGGGCCGAGGTGACGGCCGCGGTGGCGGCGGCTCGCGTAGTCGGTGGCCCCATCGACCTCGCCTCGGACAGCCAGTACGTGGTGCGGGCGTGCGCCCAGATCGAGGCCGGCGCCGACATGCGGGACTGGGAGCATGCCGACCTGTGGCACCTGCTGGTGGACGCCGTGCGGCCGGCGCTGGGCCCGCTGGGTGCCCGCCCACGAGACGCCTGCGGAGGCGCGCCGCCTGGGGCTGAGCGAGAGGGACCGCCTCGGCAACGCGGCGGCCGACGGCAACGCTGGCGCCGCCGCGGCGAGCAGAGCGCCGCCGCCAGACGCGGTGCGAGCCCGCCGCCAGGAGCTGGAGCTGCTGGGGGCCGCGCGGCGCGTGATGGCTGCCGCGCAGCAGGCCGCTGGCTGCGCAGCGGGGCCCGGGCCCGCCCGGTCTCCGCTCCGCCGGACGCCGCGCCCGCCGGACGCGCGCTGCCGCCAGCGCCGCCGCCGCGGCGCAGCGGCGCCGACGACCCCGTCCGCCCAGCAGGCGCCATGCTGGCTGCCTTCTTCGCAGGGCGGTCGTGGTGGCCGCACGCCCTCGCGCAGGGACCTGGCCATGTCGTCTGCCTCCGGTGTGGCGCCAACGCCGCGGCGCCAGCGGAAGTGTTGGGCTGTGCATGCCCGGGGTGGAAGGAGCGGCTGCCGGCGCGCGGGCAGGCGCTACTCCTTCTCGGTGAACTGCGCTTCGCTGGGGGTAGCGCGGCGGACTTAGCATGCCTCGCTGCGCAGCGGCGCGCGCAGCTCCCCAAAGGGCCAGACTGATCGGCGGGCGCCCACGGATGCGAGGGGCGCCTGCTGTCCGCTCGTATAAAACAAAAAGGGCCCCGTGGGGAACCTGTGGGACTCGTGGGACATGCGAGACCTGCGAGACTAGTGGGACCTATGGGAGTTATGGGACCTATCCGACCTGCGGGGCCTGTGGGGCCTGCGGGACCTGCGAGACCTGTGGGACATTTTGGACCTGTGGGAAATATGGAATTTGTGGTACCCGCGGAATCTATGAGACTTGTGAGACCTGTTTGACATGTGACCGCCGAAGGCCCAAATAAGACCCTCTCTTGTGGGACCGCCGGGCACCAAAATAATAAGGACCATACGTTGGACCTTGAGAACTCTTTATTCAATTCGGTGGATCGACGAGTGTCCCGAGCTTCGGGGCCATCGAGGCCTTCACGTCCGCCCTGTTTCCTGAGAACAGGAAGGCCCGAAGTTCAAACGTCTCGTCGTGGCCGCCAGAGGCCCCCAACCAGCCACCCCGCTTGGAAACGTGAGGCAACTGCTCCGCCGACTGGAAAGCGAATCTGCCGCCGTCGCCGCAGCTGCAATGCACCCGTCCACTCGCAGGCAGCACAAGAAAAAACGGCATGGAGGCGGGCGCGGCCCCAGACCGAACCAACCGACCCCCCCGGAAGTGTCCCGGGGAGGGCCCCGAGAAGGAGGCCCCACGACGACGCAAACCAAATCCCAGGACGAGCCCAGTGCAGCCCCAGGGTGGCACGTGACAGCCCCAAGAGAAGCAAGCAGAAGAGCACGAAAAAGAAGTGGAAAAGGGGGGGGGGGACAACGGAAGGACGGAGGGAAGGGGGAAGCCGTCGAAGAAGACGAAGGAGTGTGCCCCCAAGCGACGCGGATGAGCGTGTCACACGTATGGGCGACGATCTGTCGCGTGATACGGCTTCCTTGGCGGTGCTCGAAAAATCGCCGCAACAAGATGTGCGCCATCGCGGCGCGCGGGACCTGCCGCGAGCACCTCGGAATGACACAGGCGCCCTATTCTCTACACGCATCCGCACTGCATATGATGTGTAAACGATGTCACGCCCTCCGTTGGCCGACTGGTCCCTCCACTCTGAGATGCGCGCAGTGAAAAACAATCCGAACATGTGAACGTATCTGGGAAAGGGGGCGAAGGGAAGAGGTCGGGCGGGAAGCGAACAACAAATGCTCGACGCCCCCCCCCCCGCCCCGGACAAAAAAAAAAAACACAAACGCTGGACGAAACAAACGGAAAAGGCCTTCCAAATACCTGGCGCGCCGCCAACAAGGGGAAAAACGGAACAAGCTTGGCGGTATGCTCGAAGCCACAAGAGGCATCGTCACGCAGAGGCGCTCTGCCCGCATGAACGAGCGCACCGTCGCGCAAAATCGGCGCAATGACGACGCGCGAAACATCGCTGCGCGGGGGCAACCCGCACATGCAAGAGCAGCTGGCAAGCGAAAGGGCTGCTACGCGTCGCCTGAAACATAATGCTGCAATGCCGCAGCGACCACGTTGCTACTACTGGGGCCCCCCCTGAACAGCGCACGCGTGCGTCGTGGCAAGCGGGCAATGCCGCGCATGATCGCCTCTCTGCCCCGCGCAAGCACATCAGAGGGAATCTCCACGGGAAACGCGCTGCAAGCGGAAAAGCGTCAGCTTTACGAGAAACCACTGCGTGAAAAACATGCACGCCACAAACAACCGCAGCGCGCAAACAATACCGAACAACACGTATATTGTTAAGAACGTCCAGGATTTCAAGGTACTTTTTTTGTTGCGCGGTCTGATGTGGGTACATGTCCCGCCCATGAACCGTACGATTTCCGCCGCTTCATCCGTTGCTTGGGCTCCTGGAAGCCTGGGTGGGCCTCGAAACCGTTACTACAACGGGACAGGCTGATCAGTCGTTCTGCAGCCAGACGCGGTGCATAGACGTTTGGTGCATTCACATTCTAGTTACCTTCTGTACAGCCGCATCACCGTCGGTCACCTTTGGTATGGTCATCCGGGGAGTATCTACTTTTAGATAACCCATTCACCTATGGTGGACTTGCCTTTCACACAGCCGCGCTCGAAGGAATAAACCACTCTGAGGTACACACTTGCGTATACAGTGGTCAAGTGCCGTGACAAGAAAAGTCATTCAACATTAAAGAATGGCGCCAGCATTTCATCGATCGCCCCGGTGCAATTTGCAACCGCACACACGTCTGCCCAAGAATCCACCACACAGACATACAATGTTTCTTTATTATCCAATTAGGGTCTGCCGACCCCCGCTGGCCAGGGGTGTGAAGGCGCGTAGGAAGATTGGCTGTCCCCCTTTCATCCTTCACGGGGATCCCCTGGGGCCAAAAGTCGCGTTAGAGAGGGAGGGGCCGGGAGAAGTGGATGAGCTCGTCAACGGGCCCCGGGGCTCTCCAGGGCCTCCAAAGAGCCCCACGACGGCCCCATGAGCGCCGAGACAATCCAAGAGAGCGTCGAGACGACCCAGGGTAACCCCGCGACGTTTCAAGATGGCTTCAAGACGACCTACGAGGCCCCCAGGACGGCCCAAGAATGCTTCCAGAGGGCCACCCAGAGGACCTTGAGAGGCAATCATCGTCCCAGTTCCATCGAAAGACGTAGGGGTTCGACTTACGCGCCTCTTCGTCTTGGTAACGTCCACTGAGGCCCACGGAGCCCCAAAGTTTGTACCCAGACTGTCCATAAGGCCCCCAAGAGGGCCCCAAGAAGGCCCAATAGATCCCCTCTTCCTCCTCCTCCTCCACCTCCTCCTCCTCCTCCTCCTCAACCTCATCCTCCTCCTCCTTCTCCTCCTCCTCTTCTTCCTCCCCATCCTTCTCCTCCTCCTCCTCCTCCTCCTCCTCCTCGTCCTCGTCCTCCTCCCCCTCCCGATGCATCGCCAGTAGTTTGGCGATGGGCTCTGAGTGCCCCAAGACGGCCCCAAGACGGTCCCTGAGACGGCCCCGGAGGGCCCGAGAGAAGCAATGCGAACTGATCGCTCGGGTCTTTCCCGCCGGGATGACCCCAAGAGGCCACCTAATGACCCCCGAGGCGGCCCCAGGATGCCCCAATGAGGCTTTCAAGAGGCACCCAAAGAGGCACCCAAGAGGCACCCAACATATGCCCCCAAGATCAAATCGGATGACCCCCAGAGTCCTCCAAGAGGCCACTGAGAATCACTCCAGGAAACCCTCAGATGCATCCCCCAGGCTCCTGACCCACAAGCCAGGCCCAGTGGCACGACTCTTCACGAATTCACTGTTATGGGGGTCGGCGGAAAGGCGTAAGCCTCTTGAGTATAAAGTATAGCTAATCTCCCACGCAAGCTGTGGTTGCTGCAGTCTCCTTCGGTCTACTGGCTGTGGAGCGTAGTGCAATGATCCATGACTGCAATCACCTTCCAGCCACCCTCGGCACATTCACTGTTGGTGCGCTACGTACTTCATGCAATGACCAACGGCACAATCACCCGACCAATTCCCTATTTCCTTGCGCACGGGCTTCTACCATCCACCAAAAATTAAGGGGGAACATGAAACACCAACACGCATGGGACAATGAGAAGGAAATGGAACGCCAAGCAACAAGGACCGGCGCACTGGCAATCTTCAATAGGCAAGCCCACGAACAGAGCCGCGGTTCGAGATGGCGGGAGCGACGCTGCATGATGCCCCCCTACAGCTTCGAACGGCCAAGCGACCTGACAAGCCACCTGACAACTCAGCTGCGATGCGATCACTGACTTCCCTCGCCTAGGCCTGCAAAACTTCTCGTCGCTTACGAGCTGCCGTTGCCCGGGCCAGCATATTGTCCGAAGAAGTCTGGAGCCTCGGGGTCCAAAGCAAGAAGCACGCGGCGGAGCCCCTGATCGTCGATCCGGGCGCACAAAACGTTGAACCACACGGGTCCTCCGTCGCCGACGCTGAGGGCCTCGCTCAAGAATGGCCCCGAAAGTGGCACTGGCTGGGGTAGCAGTGCGAAGCAGGCGTAGCCCTTGTTCCAAAGCAACTGCACCGATGCGCCCAGGTTGTGACCTGCTGGCTCCCAATACTCCGAGACTTCAAATATGAGAAACCGTATTAATTTTTTCTTGAGAGACTTCTTGGCCCCCAGCAAAACGGCGTGCTCATGGCCGTTGACGGCGATGTGCGCAATGAACGCTCTCCCTTCTGAGACCGACTTCTTCATCAGCAAATCCAAAGTTACAACTTTCTCGACGGTGGAAGGCACACCATCGCGCGGCCACAACGATGCATCCGGATCGACACGACCAGTTGCTGCCCAGAGCTCCGCCTTCCCCGTGACGTTGCTCACCCCAGCGCGCATGACGCTGAACCCTTCGAGCTGCCAACCCGACCGCTTTGCCCTGTCGTTCAGACGATCGTAGTTTTTCTGGGCGGGCTCGAAGCAGAACACGGACACCGAGACCTCCGGCCGGTGGCGACTCACGGGGGCCTCCCATACCATTCTGTTCCCCAAACAGTGATGCAATTAAAGAATACGGCTTCTGGTTTAAGGGACCGGGCCTGTGCGTAGGTCTGGCGGCTATGTGGTCGCCGTCGCCGCCCAGTCGCCGCCTCGTCGTCGCCCATCGTCTGGGCCTGTGCGTCGGTCTGGCGGTTATGCGGTCGCCGTCGCCGCCCCGTCGCCGCCCCGTCGTCGCCCATCGTCGTGGCCTTTGCGTCGGCCTGGCGGCTCCGTGGTCGCCGTCGCCGCCCCGTCGCCTCCTGCCCCCCCCCAAAAAAAAAGTTCGACCCCCCCCTCTGGGAATATCGACGCCGCTTTTCGTATTGCAATTGTCTTACGATTTTGGCACATCGTCCATCCCCAAAAAAAGTTCATACCATCCTAGCCAACCCAGTCCTTCCCCCCCTCACCCTCGGGAGCAAATGCTATGCGCGCGTATTCGCTCACCAAAAGTCATAAATGTCCAACGACTTGTTGCAAACAGTGAAACGAAAAGCACACGCGCGCGTCGTCGCGCGCGCATGCGGGAATCCTTTAAAAAACCTTCCGTGTCGTACGGTTGTTTTAGTCGAGTGCCGAAGACACATATAAAAATATAAGGCTTCGCAACCTGGATTTCCCCCAAAAGCTTGTGCGCACGTTGCTGCGAACTCTCAAAAGAACAATCTGCTCTTCAGCATTTTCATTCGTTGCTACAAATCTGGCTTCGCGCGCGCATGTCGAAATCGCTCGAATGCCCTTGCGCGCGTGCCGTCGTGAGAATTCTGTTGCAAAGCAGTGGGGCGAAATGCACGAGCGCGCGTCGCCGCGCGCGCATGCCGGAATCTGTCAAAACTAGCGGCGTCGTAGCGATTTCAAAACCGAGTGCCCAATCAACGTACAAACCACACAGGTTCGCAACATCTGCGCTCGCGCTCGCGGAACCTTGGGGGAACAAAATGCTCTTAAACGTTAGCGTGGCCTTCTGCCACACGGGCCTCTCGCGCCGCATGCCGACATCATTCGCGCGCCATTGCGCGCGCCCTGGAGGGGCACGATCCGTGACAAATCAAAAACCATGCGGGCCACTCTCGCGCCTCGACCGCACGCATATGTCAAACTTCCCCCAAAACCTGATCACCAACGCGAGGACGACGTCATCGTCGTCGGCGTGATCAGCATCGGCACCCGCACTGGCCACATGTTCGTTGTTGTCAACATCGCCACCAACATCGCTACTATCATCATCGCGACTACCGTTGTCGACGTTGCCATGATACCGCGCCCGCCCAAGTCGCCGACTCGCACTGAAATGCCCGCTGGGCTGCGCCCGGCGGTCATCGCCACCGCTGCCGCGTCGGCCGCGCCAAACTAGCTGGCCGCTGCGCGCGCGTGCTTAGGTTGGCGCGGCAAGATCGATTGCGCCAAAGAGATTGTACAGCCTGGAATGCAACAAATGGATTCTCCTTCCTAGAAAGAGAATAGACTCTACCCCCCCCCGGACTTATCGGTTCCCCTTTCGGGTATGTAAATCTGATATGATTCTGACCACTCGCCCATCCTAAATATGAAATCATACCATCCCAGCCAGGCCGGGTTCCCCCCCCCTGAGGTTCCCTTTGTAAAAAAAAAACACTCTGCGGTGACATGTGTTGTTCTAACATAGCATTTGTTCCACGAACCCCTTGCAACAAATGGGACGAAGTGCACACGCGCGCGTCGTCGCGCGCGCATGCCAAAATCCTTCGAAAACCTTCGGTGCGGGAAAGATTTCGCAATCGAGTTTCCCCCCCCCCAAAAAAAAACATACAAAAACGAAGGGTTTCGCAACACTGGTTTGCTAATAAAGCTTCCGCGCGAGCTCTTGCGAAATCTTGAGAAAACCATAGTTTTCAAGATTTTCACAAAATGCTACCAAAAGGGCTTCGTGCGCGCGCGCATGTCGAACTCTGTCGAACGCCCTTGCGCGTGTGCCGTCGCGAGAATCCTCTGCAAAAAACCTGACGAAGAGCAGACGCGCGCGTCGTCGCGGGCGTACGCCGAAAACCTTCAAAACCCACCGGTTTCGGAAGGATGTAAAAATCGCGCGTCCAAAAAACCTACAAAAACCTGAGGTTTCGCAACACGGATTTTCAACAAAAGCGTGCGCGCGCGCTCTTGCGTCGTCGTCGTCGTCGTCGTCGTCGTCGTCGTCGCCGTCCTCCCGCGTCGTCGTCGTCGTCGTCGCCTACGTCGTCCTCTGTCTTTTCTCTTGTTCGTCGTCGTCGTCCTCTTTGGCGTCGTGGTCGTTTCCGTCGTCGTTGTCGCCGTGGTCGTCCGTCCTCTTCCTCCCACGTCGTCGTCGTCGTCCGTCGTCGGCGTCTCGTCGTCGGTCTCTCCTATTTCGTCACCGTCGTCGTCGTCGTCGTTGTCGTCGTCGTCGTCGTCGTCGTCGTCGTCGTCTTCCCTCCTCCCTCGTCGTTGCCGTCGTCGGCGTCGCCGTCCTCCCTTCTCCCTCGTCGTTGTCGTCGTTGTCGCCGTCGTCGTCCTCCCTCCTTCCTCGTTGTCTTCGTTGGCGACGTCGTCGTCGTCTTCGTCGTCGTCGTCGGCGTCGGCGTCGTTGTCGTCTTCGTCGTCGTCGGCGTCGTCGTCGTCGTCGGTGTCGTCGTTATCGTCGTCGTCGGCGTCGTCATCGTCGTCGACGTTGTCATCGTCGTCGTCGTCGGCGTCGGTGTCGTCGTCGTCGTCGGTGTCGTCGTCGTCGTCGTTGTCGGTGTCGTCGTCGTCGTCGTCGTTGTCGTCGGTGTCGTCGTCGTCGTCGTCGTTGTCGGCGTCGTCGAAATCGTTGGAAACGTCGTCGGTGTCGTCGTCGTCGTTGTCGTCGGTGTCGTCGTCGTCGTCGTCATCGTTGTCGGCGTCGTCGAAGTCGTTGGAAACGTCGTCGGTGTCGTCGTAGTCGTTGTCGGCGGCGTCGTCATCGTCGTTGTCGCTGTCGTCGTCGGCGTCGCTGTTGTTGCCAAGTGCCATGTGGTACCCACCGTCACGGTCTCAACAAGAGATTTTGCAAACCAAGTTGCGGGTGGGTGGGTGGGATGTTTGCGCGAGCAGTGGGTGGACAACTCACTGCGAACATAAATTAATTGCACCACGTAGATTGCATCACAGTGGTTCACAACACCGGCTGCACCGCATAGGTTGCGCGACGTAGATTGCACCACTTAGCTTGTTTCACAAAGATTGCACAATACTGCACCACTTCGGCTGCGCCAAGCCGTCTGTTCGGCTAGATTCCACCACGCATATTGAACGACAGCGGTACTCACTGCAAAAACCGTAACATATGAACTCGACCCCCCCGAGATTATTGCCCCCACCACCCCCTGGGATAATGCAGCGCACATACGATTTTGACCCATCGCTCATTAAGAATAATTCGAAACATCCCAACCCAGCCGGTATCGTCCCTACCTGTTCCCTGTCAAATCAGACTTTGCGCGCGCACTCGCTGATCAAAAAGATCGCTTTTCAAGAACCACTTGCACAAGAGGAGGACGACGTCGACACGCGCGCGTCGTCGTCGCGCGCATTCCGACATTCTTCAAAAACCTATATATATATATATACATATCGGATTTCAAGATCAAGGTTCCCGAAACACACATACAACAACACACTGTTTTGCAATATGATATACCAACAAATCTGCGCACGCGCTCTTGCGAAATCACAGGAAAACCACGGTTTCTCAACCTGATCATCAAATGCAACCAACAAGACCTTTCGCGCGCGCATGTCGGAATCACTCGGACGCCCTGGCGCGCTCGCTGGGGGGCACGACCACTGTCAAAGAATTCCATGCGAATCATTCGCAACAGTCGGCCGCGCGCGTATGTCGAAATCTCCCCCAACCTCCATCGCAGACGCGTGGGCACCATCATCTTCATCGGCGTGATCAACATAGGCGCCGTCATTGGCCTTGCCGTCGTCATCGTCGTCATAGCCACGAACTCCTCATCGTGTCTGCCGTCGGCGGCGTCGCAACGATACCGCGCCCGTCCGACTCACGGACTCGCGCGGAACTGCCCACGCGTCAGCGCGGCCTGCGAGACGCGAAATCCCCAGAGGTCAGCGTCAGAGCGGCCGCGTCGGTCGCGCCAAACTTGCTCGCCGGTCTGCGCGCAAGCCAGCTCGCGCGAACGCGGCCGCAGCGATGCCCCAGCAAACGCCGAGCAGTCATCGCAATCACCGCCGCATGGGTTTTGCAACCGAGTTGCGGGTGTGAGGGCGGGATGTTTGCACGATCGTTGGAGCTGACGACTGCAATTTCCACGATCGCACCACATGGATTGCGCCACGTCGGTTGCACCACATATGTTGCTTAGCACATACACTGCACCACAAAATCTACCCCACACAAGTTGCGCAACCTAGCATGCACACCACACACATATTTATATATAGATGTGTATAGATATAGGTGTGTGTGCTTCTATATGCACACACACCAAAGTTATGAATTGCCGCAAACTGATATTTGGCGAAGGCGCCGGACCAAAAATGCCCTGCAAAGGAAAGGTTCATGTTGTCATATTTTTATTTGGCGGAGGCGCTGAGCGTTTTACTCCCGAGAGCGAAAACAAACATTGGCCTTTTTTTTGGATTAGCGTGGCCGGAAATTGCCAAACAGCGCAAACGAAGCTTTTGGATTGCCCGTGTACCCGCAGCATTTGGAATGCCCCTGCACCAGCATTTTACCCAGCCGTTGAAGTTCTTCTTTGGGATATAAAGCTGTCTCATTTTCCCCGCTGGGCGAAAACAAAAAACTCGGCATGATTAAATTTGGCGGGGGCGGTCGCATAATTTGCTGCAAACGAAGTTTTGAACGCCGCACTCCTTGATTC